CTCCCGAAGAGGAAGAGGGAAGGCCCGCGGGGAGGCCACAGGCCTAGAGCGAACACTCACCATATTGGAAAGACCTGGGAGCTCCGCGTCGCCGACACAGCCCAGGCCCCCTGCTTTTCTGCGCCTGCGCACAGCGTCCGGTCCAAACGGACAGTTTCGGCAGCCTATCAGGAGCCAGCGTGGGGCGGGGCGGGGACTGCCGTAATTACCCAGGCTCGTGCAGAATTCGCTCTGGGCTGTCTGACAGCGAGAAGCTGAGGAGCAGTTACTGCGGGACGTTCCAGCCCTGGCTGCGCCAAAAGCGTGCTAGCTTTCGGGTCGCAGCCGAAGTCTGGCTGGCTCCGGAAACCCTCCGGCGGAGGGTGGTGGGGAAGTATGAGGCCGAAGGGGATGATTGCCGAGGATCCCTGAGCGCCCAGGTGGATTGCACCGACCTACGTGCGCTGAAGACGGGGAAGTAGGGAGCAGGGGCTGGGGCTGGGGCCCAGAGCGATCCCCTGGGAGTAGGCCACGCGCGCTGAGATGTGCAGGTCTGGGCCGGCCGGGCGTCCGCAGGAGCAACCCGAGTTCAGCCCCGCCCTGGCGTTACCTTGGAGAACCGCTTCACACCTCTGGGATCTGTCATTTTCTCACTCTTAGCAAGAGCACCCTTCTTCCAGAGCCCTGTATTGTCCCGCTTTCGCCTTGTCAGGTCACAGACATTTCTGGGTCCTCGGGTGGAACACGCTGCCGTGTAGTGAACTTGTGTCACTGTGTGCCGGTAGCCTCAACACAGTGAATGCTGGCCTCCCCACTTTCCAGACGCTGCTGCTTTGAGGCACTGGAGCCTGAGGTCGAAACTCCGAACCGTCAATCCGCGGTAGCCTTTCTCAGTGGGGTACTTGGTGCCCCTTCCAGGGTTGTCTGCGCGCTAAGTTGATTGAATTGTGACTTTTGTTTGTTTGTTTGTTTTTAAGAGGTTTTCGCTATAGGGTGCGTGCACTCGCCAGACAGACAGAGAGAGACAGAGAGACAGAAAGCGAGAAGTCACCGCCCAGGGGGGATGGTCACGCCGCAATCCCTTCTCCGTTCTCCTCTCGGGATCTTGGGCATGCACGCACACGCGCCGGCGTGAGTTTAAGCCACCGGGTCTGGGACGCGAACCGCGGTCGACTACGTGGGAGTCCAGCGACATAGCCATTACGCAAACTGCTGGTTCCCGATAAGAATTATTTAATTTTATCTATATCTATATCTATATCTATATATATATATTTTTTTCCCCCTCTCTCTTCCTGTTTGTTATAGGGCTTGCACACTCATCAGGAGAGAAAGCTTCGCTGCACTTGGCCAGGTGCGGGACTCAAACCCCAGTCAGTCGGGAACCAGCAGTTAGCATAATGGCTATGTCGCTGGACTCCCACGTAGTCGACCGCGGTTCGCGTCCTGGACCCGGTGGCTTAAAACTCACGCCGGGCGCGTGTGCATGCGTGCCCAAGATCCCGAGAGGAGAATGGAGGAGAAGGGATTGTGGCGTGACCATCCCCTCTGGGGGGTGATTTCTCGCTTTCTATCTCTCTGTCTCTCTCTGTCTGTCTGGCGAGCGCATGCGCCCTATAGCAAAAACCTCTCCAAAAAAACAAAACAAAACCACGGTCAGTCATTTGGGAGTCCAGTGGCTTAACCACTATGCTGCCGGCTGGCTCTGTGACTTCTTTTGTTCGTTTTCATTTACCTCTAAGTATTTATTATACTTTATGAGGGAGAGAGGCTGAGAGAGAGCGCACACACAGGGCTTTTTTTTTTTAAAGCAAAGAAACTCAGCAGACACCACCTTAACCAGATCAAGGTTAATTATTACTAGTAATGAGGCATATTGACATTGCGTGCCCTGATGTAACAACCTAAGGGCACATCAATTCCATTTGTTTTTTAAAATCCATGGCCTTAACCGTGAGAAAAAAATGTTTTTAATTAAGCAAAAAATGTATTTCCAGGCTCTTCAAAGTTCATTACAAACACAACGTATCTTTAAAATGTTCCAAATTAAGTCAAAGGCACATCCTCAAGGAATGTGAAGAATTCTTTTAAGTTGTAATATTTTCATATTACTTTGTTTTAAATCCTTTGCAATGTTTGGTAGGTCACATTTTAAACATTTTTAAAGACATGAAATAATGTATTTCTTTTTAAAATACAAGCACAACTACAAGGTAAAGGAACTTAAGATGACAACAATCAAATCTGTTTCATAAACAGGATGGGGCAACTCAAAACTTAATTATCTTTCTAAACAAGTTTGCTAAGGAACAGCTCTCATCTTTAGTGTTAAAAATAAATCAATCTTCTCATTTAAAAAACACCAAGACAGCATTTGATTAGTAAAGCCTATTCTTTCCCCCCCAGTTTTTATTTTCCTGTCTTCACTTAGAAAGCATAAATTAAGGGACCAGCAGTTGGCGTAATGGCTATGTAGCTGGACTCCCATGTAGTCAACCATGGTTCGAGTCCCGGACCCAGTGGCTTAAAAACTCATGCCAGGCGCATGTGCATGTATGCCCAAGATCCCAAGAGGAGAATGGTAAAGAAAGGATTGCGGCATGGCCATCCCCCCTGGAGGGTGATTTCTCGCTTTCTGTCTCTGTCTCTCTCTGTCTTTCTGGTGAGTGCACGTTCCCTATAACAAAAACCTCTCAAAAAAACAAACAAAAAAAAGTAAGTGTAAATCCATAAGAAAAGAAAAGATTTTTGTTATGCTATAAGTCTGTGTCCAGGGACCAGCAATTAGTATAATGGCTATGTCACTGGACTCACATGTAGTTGACCGCGGTTTGAGTCCCAGACTTGGTGGCTTAAACTCAGCTCACGCCGGGCAGGCGTGCACATGCATGCCCATGATCCCAAGAGGAGAATGGAGGAGAAGGAATAATGGGGGGGGGGCCCCCCCCTTGGGGGGGGGGGGGCGGTGATTTCTCGCTTTCTGTCTCTGTCTCTGGCGAGTGCACACACCCTCTCAAAAATAAATAAATAAATAAATAAATAAATAAAAGTCTGTGTCCTGAACAAGAAATTACAAATATTCCATTTGTTTTAATAAACAAAAATGTCTTCCTTCCCAAAATGTAAACACCCAGAAAATAAAACACACGTGATGTTCCAGGTATAGAAAAACACCAGCAATTCACTTATGAAAGAGGTGCATCCTGGTATATTTGGTAGTAAAGTTTTGTCCTAAATACAAAGCACTTTGCCAAAAGAACCAGGACATTATGGTTTAAAACTCTATTCTTTCACCTAATTTCCTTATTTGAGTAAAAACTCTACAATTTCTATAAAATTTTAGCTAGAGGGCCAGGCCACAAGAAAGGTCTTAAATATCTATAAGTCATTTGGCTAGAGAAATTTCTTGAGACGTGGAGGCAGTCATTCATCTGTTTGTGCTTGAAGGCATGCCTCAGCAAACTTCTAAATCTTCAGAATAAAGCACAGGATCTGGGCTCCCGGAAGGGGTTGCTTCCAGCTGAAACACTGACCAGCAGCATCCTTGCAGGCATTCTTGAAGCTCTGTGGCGGACTGAAAGAGCTTGATCCTCTCTATGCCCACCTCCAGCTTGAGCTGCTCCACCAGGTGCAGCTGGGTGCTCACAATGGCGCCCCGAAAGACATGCCAGTGGGTGCTCACCATGAGAAAATTTACATAAACCTAATTTGAGGGATTTTCTTTCTGTAAAGAATTATTTTTATTTATTTATTTAAATTTGACCAAAGAGGGACGGGGGGGAGGGGGGGGATGAGAAAGCATGCCACCAGATCCGAGACCTGAACAGTGGTCAGCCATGTGGGAGTCCAGCATTCTTAACCACCATACCACCTGCCAGCCCCAGAGGGAGGGATTTACTAATGAGGTACTTGATCACTACTCAAAATCTCAAGACTGTGCAGCCCTGTGGCCTGGTAGTTAAGGCAGCCAGATCCACATGGCTAACTGTGCAGTTGAGTCTCCCACCTGGCAGCTTGAGAAACACACTGGGTACATGTGTATGCATGCCCAAAATCACCAAAAATGGAGAAATGGAGAAGGGATTGTGTATGACCACTTCTTATTGGGGGTATGTGTGTGTACTCCTCCCACCTCCTGTGCACTCTCTAGCACAAAAACACCTCAAGGTCACGAAAGACAAGGTCTGAATGAGAAACTGTCACAGATTAGAGGAGACGAAGGAGAAAAACAACATTGGTGGAAAAACTGATAAAATCTGAATAAGAGCTGTAGTTTAGTGTTATTTTACCAATGTTCATTTATTAGCTTTAATGACTGTACTGGGACCAGCAGATGGCGTAATGGTTACATTGCTGGATTCTCACGTATTCGACCACAGTTCAAATCCTGGACCCAGCAGCTTAAAACTCAGGCGGTTGTGTGTGCATGCATGCCTGAGATCCCGAGAGGAGAGTAGAGGAGAAGGAACTGCGGCATGGCCATTCCCCTGGGGGGTGATTTCTCACTTTCTGTCTCTCCAGTGAGCACACACACCCTATAGCAAAAATCTCTCTACCGAAAAAAAAAGTAACTTATCATGCTTGAGATGTTAATATGGAGGGGTTATCATTTGGTGGTACAGAAATGAAGGGAGGGAAGGTTCCCAGTTCAAGTCTGAAGCTATCCCTGAGTACATTGAGGCTGACCCAAAGCTGGGAATAGATCATGGTGTAGGGGTCCTTTGGGGGGTTGTTTTCTCTCAGGCCCTCTCCCTCATAAAGTAAATACTTAAAGAAGTATTTACTTCTGCCAGCAGGTGGCATGTTGTTTGGGGTGCACTGGACTCCCATGATTTGAGTGCGAGACTTAGCAACTCTCTTTCTTTCTTCTCCCTCTCTGGTGAGTGCGCGTGCCCTATAGCAAATTAAAAAATAACAAAAATAATTTTAAAAAAGAAGTAAATACTTAAAAGATGTTGGGGCCAGCAGCTAGTGTAGTAGTTACATCGCTGACTCCCACATGGCCAATCATGGCTTCAAATCCTGGACCCAGTGGCTTGAAACTCATGCCGGGTGCGTGTGTGTGCATGTGTGCCCAAGATCCCTGGAGAAAGGATTACAGCATGGCTATCCCCCCAGGGAGTGATTTCTCACTTTCCCTCTCCCCATCTCTGTCTTCCTCTCTGGCCAAGTGCACACACCCTATGGCAAAAACGTCTATAAAAAGGAGGAAAAAGATGTTAACAGTAGGAAAAGCTGGATGAAGGGTATGGAGAAACTCTGTATTTTGTCAGCAGCTCCATAAACCTAAATTATTTCAAAATCAAGATTTTTAAAAGGATAGGACAGGGGCCAGAGGGTGATGTAGTATTTTAGGTGCTGGACTCCCACATGGCGAACTGTAGCTTGAGTCTCGAACCTGGCCAGGTACATGTATTTGTGTGCCCCAAATCTCAGGAGGCAAACAGAGGAGAAGGGGTTGCAGCATGGCCATTCCCTTCTGTGGGGTAATTTCTCACTTTCCATCTCACTCTCCAGGAGCGCATGTGCCCTATGGCAAAAACCTTAAAAAGATAGGACAAAGGAATGACAAATGCTGGAAAGATAGGAAAGCATTTAACAAAGGGAAGAAGTGTTGCAGTGACTGGACACCAAAACATGTTGGAAGACAGGCACGGAAGGGATCATCATTACCATCTTCAGGAGAATCAAAGTGAGGGGAGTCAAAGGATTTAAAAAGATCACAAACCCCAGCAGGAAAAAACAAATTGCTTTTAGTTTTTTTTTTTCTTTTTTTGGAGAGGTTTTTGCTATAGGGCGTGTGCGCTCGCCAGACAGACAGAGACAGAGAGACAGAAAGCGAGAAATCATCCCCCGGGGGGATGACCATGCCGCAATCCCTTCTCTCCATTCTCCTCTCGGGATCCTGGGCACGCATGCACACGCGCCCAGTGTGAGTTTAAGCCACCGGATCCGGAACTCGAACTACAGTCGACTATGTGAGAGTCCAGCGACATAGCCATTACACCAAATGCTGGTCTCAAGTGGCTTTTAGTTTTTGTGACTGGAGCCCGGAAATGAGTGAAGGAGCTGGAAATAGGGTTAAGAATAGCTTCTAGTGGCAGGTTTACAAGTTTTGGAGTTTGTTCTGTGGTAATAGAGAAACACTAAGATTTTTTTTTTTTTTTTTTTGAGAGGTTTTTGCTATAGGGCATGTGCACTAGCAAGACAGAGGTAAAAAGTGAGAAATCATCTCCTGGGGGGATGGCCACACTGCAATCCGTTCACTTTCATTCTCCTCTTGGGATCTTGGGCATGCACGCACGCACGCACGCACGCACATGTGCCCAGCATGAGTGTAAGCCGCCAGGTACAGGATTGGAACTATGGTTGACTACATGGGAGTCCAGCAACATAGCCATTATGCTATCTGCTGGTC